GGACTTCTCCTCCTCGTTGTTGTTGGTGGACGACCCCGTCTTCATGGTGTCCTGCTGCTCCGACTGCCACTCGCCGCGGGTGATGAGGCGCCGCATCTACGACCGGGTCCCAGCCCCTTGTAGGTGCCAACCTTGGCCCTTGTGGCCCCCCCCAGAGGTCCCCTTTGTCCCACCATGACCCTCCATGGGAAGGAACCTCCACGGCCACAGAGGCAACACCCTCACCTACAACCATTGGGGTGCTGGTTCCTCACCAACCCCCAGAGAAACACTTGGACCAACCCCATCCCTTGTCCCCTTGGGAGAGGAGAAGACAACGGTCAATGAGGTGAAGGCCCAAAGGTCTCCATCAACCATCTCCATGAGAAGGAACCTCCATAAGGCAACACAAGCTGCTGGTTCCTCACCAGCCCCATAGGAAACACTTGGACCAACCCCATCCCTTGTCCCCACCATCACCTTGGGCACGAAGAGGACGACCAAGGTGATGTAGGAGGAGAAGACAACAGCCAAGGAGGCGAAGGCGAAGGCCGCATCCTGTTGGCTGCTGAGGATCATGGTGACGGGCGCCGTGATGAGGCAGAGGACCTGTGGGGTGGATGGAGACGTGGCTTTGGTGGCCACCGGTGGGATGTGGGGTGAAGAGCGGAGCAGGAGGCGATGGACGACTCACCGCCACATTGTAAATGGCCATTCCCACCGCTCGGTGGTCGTTGATCTTCTCGGTGGACACACTCTTGGTTTCATAGGCCAAGAAGATGCCCAAGAGCAGGAGCAACCCCTTGAAGCCGTAGAAGATCCCTTGGGATGGACGAGTGGACCATGAGTGGTCAAACAAGGACCATCCAACTGCTTCCTATGGGCCTCCACAATGTTGTGGTGACCCCAACCCAATGGGGATCCCACACACACACCCCAAGCCCCATCTCTGCCCATGTCCCACCCCATGGACCCCCCCTGATGCCCACCAAGCCACGTGTTCATCTTGGTGGAGCTGCAGTGCTCCAGCTGGGGCAGGATGGAGACGTCCGTGTCCGTCTTGGGCTCCTCCTTGGTGAACTCCTGGGGGGACATAGGGGGGGACAAAGGTGGGGAGTTGTCCCCCAAGCGGCACCTCAACACCTTGAGGTCCCCCCAAGACCTCCAGAACCTCCCCAGCACCAAGAACACCTCAACCCCCCCTCACCTCGATGGTGCGGTGCAGGGGGTCCACGATCTGCCAGATGACCAAGGTGACCACGTCCAGCCCCACCAGCAG